CACTTACTGCAAAAAAAAAAAAAAAAATTCAAGCGATTCTCACACACACACACACACACACACTGGGATTAAAAAAAAAAAAAAAAAACCCAAATAATTTTACACACACACACACACACACAATTTCATCAAAAAAAAAAAAAAAAACTTGAACTCCTGACACACACACACACACACACACAAGTCTCCCAAAAAAAAAAAAAAAAAGGTGTGAGCCGCCGACACACACACACACACACACATGTATGCTTAAAAAAAAAAAAAAAAATCTTGGAGAACATACACACACACACACACACACATTGTTAACTAAAAAAAAAAAAAAAAGAACTGGAGGGGGAACACACACACACACACACACATATTTGTAAAAAAAAAAAAAAAAAATGAACATGTATTATACACACACACACACACACACAAAAAGACAGAAAAAAAAAAAAAAAATTTAATTCAAGCTGACACACACACACACACACACAATAATTAAAAAAAAAAAAAAAAAAATTTAAAATCCCTGAACACACACACACACACACACAGTGCAGTGGAAAAAAAAAAAAAAAACAGCACTTTGGGAGACACACACACACACACACACAAGGGTCATAAAAAAAAAAAAAAAAAGGCCAACATGGTGAACACACACACACACACACACAACAAAAATTAAAAAAAAAAAAAAAAATGTGCCTGTAATCACACACACACACACACACACAGCGGGAGAAAAAAAAAAAAAAAAAAGGCGGAGGTTGCAGACACACACACACACACACACACACTCCAGCAAAAAAAAAAAAAAAAGACTCCCTAAAAAAACACACACACACACACACACATTCCAATCCAAAAAAAAAAAAAAAAACACTGGCGACCAAACACACACACACACACACACAAGGGTCGGGAAAAAAAAAAAAAAAAAGACTGGGAAACTCACACACACACACACACACACAAGGAATAAAAAAAAAAAAAAAAAAATTCTCCACTCCCCCACACACACACACACACACACACACGCTTCTAAAAAAAAAAAAAAAAGTCCTCTCCCCAGCACACACACACACACACACACAAAGGAAGACAAAAAAAAAAAAAAAAACAGGCTTAGGAATACACACACACACACACACACAGCCCCTGCTAAAAAAAAAAAAAAAAACTCCCCTCGGCACACACACACACACACACACACATCCTCCATAAAAAAAAAAAAAAAAACAGAAGCTGGAGAGACACACACACACACACACACAAGAGGACCAAAAAAAAAAAAAAAAATGGGGTAGGTAGGAACACACACACACACACACACAGGGATGTAAAAAAAAAAAAAAAAAAAGACCAAAGAAGACACACACACACACACACACACAGACCTTCACAAAAAAAAAAAAAAAACAGGAGCTCCCGTTACACACACACACACACACACAAGGCTCTGAAAAAAAAAAAAAAAAACTTGGTTCCCACGGACACACACACACACACACACATAACAGGCTAAAAAAAAAAAAAAAAGGTGGGGGGTCCCGACACACACACACACACACACACCAGAGGCAAAAAAAAAAAAAAAAAGATGGGTTAGGGAGACACACACACACACACACACAGATCCAGCCAAAAAAAAAAAAAAAAGTCTGTCTTAGTTGACACACACACACACACACACACTCAAAGCCAAAAAAAAAAAAAAAACCACCATGTGGACAACACACACACACACACACACACTGAACCGCAAAAAAAAAAAAAAAAGCTTCGCTCCCATTACACACACACACACACACACACTAGCGACTAAAAAAAAAAAAAAAACTTCCTACAAGCTGACACACACACACACACACACACGTCAAAACAAAAAAAAAAAAAAAAAGTCAACCCATCACACACACACACACACACACACAAAAAACTCAAAAAAAAAAAAAAAAACAACCCACCTTTCAACACACACACACACACACACAGATGCAGACAAAAAAAAAAAAAAAAACGGTGAAACCCCGACACACACACACACACACACAAAAAAAAAAAAAAAAAAAAAAAAAAGTGAGAGAGGTCCTGGTCTGCATTCTTTTTTTTTTTTTTTTTTTTTTTTTTTTTTTTTTTGAGACGGCATCTAGGTCTTGTCCCCCGGGCTGGGAGTTTGCAGTGGCGGCAAATTCTCTGCTTCACTGCAAGGCCTCCGCCTCCTGGGTTCCACGCATCTTCTCCCTGCCTCAGCCTCCGCGTGTAGCTGGGACTTACAGGTGCCAGCCACCCACTGCCCAAGCCTAATTTTTTTTTTTTTTTTTTTTTTTTCTTCTTGTATTTTTGTAGAGACGGGGTCCTTCACCGCTGTTAGGCAGGAATGTCTGTCTTGCATCTTTAATCTTCCAAGCGACTCCCTTCACGTGACAAGCGGTTGGTTGTGGGGGTTCTCTCTCGCCTGAGTTTTCTTTTCTGCCGGGGGCGGGTAGGCCGTCGGTGATGGGGTTGACTTTTTCTTTTGGGTTTGGTTTTGAACGCTTACAGACCACAGATACATGCAGGCTTGTAGGAAGAAATTTTTTGTCGGGCAGGCTCGGCTAGGGTCCCTTTGGGCCAAGCCATCGTAATGGGAGCGAAGCTTGACCTTTCCCTTCCCAGCCGGCCGGGTTCAGATCTGGACGTCGCTTTAAGGTGTTCCAACATC